GTGCAGAGAATGTGCTGGATCTTCCCCGGGACCAACAGCTTCTTGAACTTGGCTGGCAGGGTGTTGCACCGGTGGGGGATGTGCAGGTCACCTAACACCAAAACCAACTGACAGCATCGCACAGACACACACAGACAGATTAGTCACCCACCGATGAGCCTCCAGAGAGTCCAGACTGTGTGTTGTAGCATCTGAACTCTGGGAAAAGGAAGTGGGCCGAGGACTCCGTCAGAACCACTGTACTCCTCAGTTAGTTATTATTCAGTTGTCTCGTATCCTCTTTAAAACCACCAAAATACTGTTTTTAAATTTTATGTTATTGCACCGAAACATCAACTTACTCCAGATTAATTCAGTGCAGTGGATAAACAGGCTTAAAGGGTAACTGTTGCTGTTTTTCAACCTGGATATTATTTTCCCATGTTTTTGTGTATGTAACTAACTGGGACAACATTTTTTTAAATTGGTCCAGCATTGAGCAAACGCAGAGCTGCAACGTAACCCTTGAGCGGAACTGCGCCCCGTCCACTAAAGTGCTTGTTTTTGCCCCTGACATGCTCAGATTGTTATTACAAGTGTTTAAAATTATAGAAAGGATCCATCTGAAGACAGACCATTTTGTTTAACCAGAAACAGTCACTATATTGCTCTCATCAAAGCCACCAGACTTCATTGATAAAACAGTGATTTTACCTTTGCAGAACACAGGAGTTGCTGTCTATCTCTGCCTTGGTTGGTAAGTTTGTTTGTGTTATTACGTGACTTTAGTGTTTTAAAAGCTTAAAAATACCAAAATCTCACATGAACACAAACTAACCGATCGAGGCTGTAACCAGTGAGGAAATAAGTCTGGTGGCTTTGACGAGAGTAATAAAGAGACTGTTTCTGGTCTTACTCAAAATAGGTCCATCTCTCCTTTCCATAATGTTGTCACACACTTTCAATGGCAAAAACCAGCACTTTAATGGACGTACTTTGACGGGGCGTCATTGCCCGCATGGATTACATTGCAGCCCTGTTTCACTGCTGCCGAGTGCGGCGCTCTCACTCAATACTGGACATGTTTCAAAAGATATTGTCCCAATCAGTTACATACAAGACATACAACGTGGGAAAATAGGGTCCAGGTTAAAAAAAACAAACTCTCCCTTTAATTCATAAAGTTCAAACTTGTAAATAAGCAATGTTTGTGAGTAAGAAGCTGAGGATATTAGGTGTCTGAATTCAAACTGGGTTGTGAATGTTACTTCTTACATAATAAATAGAGTCAATAAATAAACAGCCCAGGTGGGAAAATATGGATTTAGTAAACAACTGTGAATTCAGACACTCAATAACAGATGTAGGACACAAGAAAGAAATAATTATGTTTTCACACAATACAAGTAGTCAATAAGAATTTAACACCAACAAACTTAAAGGTTCATACTAAAACACAACGCAAGGTTCTACCCAACACCATGTATCAGTTTAGATGATGAAATGGCGCATACTGCAAACCAGGAACTGTGACTGATGAACAAAAGTTTAATGTGTGCAATTATGGGTGTAAGTATTTAATTACTTTGACCACATCAAATGTTCATTCACTCTAAATATACAGCAGTAAACTTGGCAAGGATTAGATTTCCTCACCAAGAAATTGCTAATGTTTGTCCAATCAGAACAGCTTTTTATTTCTGAAGTGGAAAGCATCCATTCAATAAGGTATTCCTGTTTTGAAATAGATGAGTCACTAGTAAGGAATCAATTCAACTTGTGAAACATTTTCAGGAACTTGACCTTAAAGTCTGCCTGAGTCACAGTAGATTCCTACACAGGTTCTTGAAATCTAATGTGGGAGTTTTAGGTTTCCTACTCTGACTTATTTCTAGACTATTTTGATGAGATGAGTAACATGTAATTTCTTGTTTAGGCAAGCAACCGAGAGAAGGTGTAATTAAAGCATTTAGCCTGCCAGCACAAGATGCCCGCGCTGCAATGGCTGAATTAGCAGCAGCTATTGGCTCTGAGACGCAGAAACAGCAGACTTGCACAGCTGTGCAATCCCAATCCCACGTTAGTGTGCCGGGCAGAAGAGCGAGCAGAAAACAGGGATCCTACACAGAGCGAGGGCACTTACCCGGTGACCAGCCTGGTTGATTGCAGACAGGCAAGGAGGGGTGTGAGGAGGAGAGTGGGTGAGATAGGGAGGAAGGCAGGATGTGCATGGAGAGAATGACACGAAGTACGATCAAAGATTGGGTATAAAAAAAATACAAAAATAAGAGTTGGGACAAGAAGGAAAAATTAAATTAGAAATTAAAAAGTGAATGGATTAAGAAGACAGATATTAATCATTCAAACACAAATAAGAAAAGTTAAACGACAATGTGGTTGAAACAGTTGTTAATGGTTGATGGTTAGTGATAATGATGAAGCAAATATATAAAGTTTAAATAGCCTGACTGAGTGTGACCAAAGGCGAAATCATGTAATGGAGCAAATCAAAGTGCTGACTGGACGTTACAGTTTTATTATAAGTTATAATCAACCCACTATGTTGAGATAAACTACGGCTGGGCAATAAAACAGTCATGATAATTATCGTGATATAATTTTCTTCAATAACAATATAACAAATGTTCAATAAATGTTTGATTTAATTCATTTCAACCACGACTGAATTAGCACTTAATTTTTCTGTTAAGATATTTATTTTATTGAGGAAAAGTAAAAAAGATTTTACTTCACTTCACTCGTGCATATTTGTTGAAAAAATATTTTATCATAATTGTTCTGAAAGTTCTACTTCTGATTTGTTAAGTGATCTGCTGTTTGGAACCAAGTGTTTGTTCTGACCATAAAGAAAAGTTTAAAACCACAATTAACCTTCTGGTTTCTTTAAACTTTCACTCAGGAGCAAAAATCAACCTTTAAACTTGAAAGAAATCATGATTTGACATTTATTGTGACAGTTATCAATATTGAATGATATGACATTTTTGTCGTGATAACATTATTATTATTGCCCTGAGTTAAACTGCACCAAAACATGTTGTTTTTCCAAATATCTTGCCCCAAACTAGAGCAAACTCCATATACAGGTAAATTATTGTTCACTTTTATTTGTAGTTTACGTCCTATCTGTGTTGTTACTTTTGTTTTTGTAATTTATAAATGCTAAATTGAATGATCTTGATTAGATTAATCTTGTTATGTCATTTTTAAATGTAGACTTTTGATTGTTTAAATGAAACATCCATGTCAATAAAGCACACTGAACTGAGAGATAATGAATGAATAAACTAATATGACGTGCAGTTGTAGTCTTAATGCAAATATACTTTTGTCTAACTAGCTGGTTCACCGATGGAACCACTGACAGTTACGTTTCGGTTTGGTAACTGGGTGATAAACGCAATTATTGCTGCAGTAGAAAAGTGGCTCATGACATAAAGTAGCTATTAGCCTGTTAGCCCTGCGAGCTAACCGGATGGTAAACAAGAAAAAGTAACAAAAATGTCGTTATACCAATTAAACAGATAACAAAAATGGATGTTGAACAAACATGACAAACCTAAAGAGCGCCGTGCAAATGAAAAAAGCGACTTTAGGGCTGCTTGCGGCTTGTTGTGTTGAATTTTGGGGGGACTGAAGTGTTCAGCTGTCATGTGATCGTTGATCCATCTCGGGATGCAGCTTCACTAAAATAAACCCTTAAATTGAGACTACGTGGACGCGCTGAAACCAGGATATCAGTCTCGACTCTCGATAACTAGTCTAAGAAAACACCGAGCCAGCAAACTTCTCGAAACGCGGGCTGTAAAAGTGGTAAATTGTGGCCTTTTCGCTGTTTCATACTCACCATCTTTAATTTTGCTGTTTGCTGCTAGTCAAGTTGAGGAAGCGCCTACGCACGTACAGCGTCAACCTGTCAGCCAATGAGAAGAGAGAAGAGAGAGTACACGTCACACTATATGCAACACTTCCTTTTGTGCTTTCAAAATAAAACGAGTGAAACTTTAAACACTGACCAGGCTTTCAACTAAAATTTCAAAACCATAATGCCATTTATCAAAAAGCACACCCATTTTCTTAATTTCACTTCACTTCACTCGTGCATATTAAACTATAAACACTATCCCTGTTTTGACACATAATTCAGATTTGTTGAACTGTCACTGCATAACTCTGCACACAAATCCCTTCAATTCAATTCAATTTGCTTTATTGGCATAAATGTCAAAATAACAATTAATTTCATGCAGTTCATTAAATAAATTTTAAATATATATAAAAATGCACCTACCTACCTAACTACCTAAACGTATGTGTTTAAATAAATAATAAAATAAAAATAAACAAATTATAATTGAAAATAATAAATAAAACAGTTAACCTGTGTGTGTTTAAATTAAATAAATAAATAAATTACCAATTAAATAAACAGTAACCGTGAGTTTGTGTGTTGTGTATTAAATTCATATGGTTCATAATCCTTTATTTCTCCATGCCTACAGGCACTAACATTCAGCATTGTTCACCCAAGTCAGCACAGCTTGAGCAAAAAATTACCCAGATGGAAACACAATTGTCATAATTAATCATTTATAGTTTAGATTGACTCTCTCTGACTGCTGTTTAGATCATATTTGTACAAGAAAGCAATATGTTCCAAGAAGTTACCATTATCATCTACCGTGATATATCATTCTCAAACACAATGCCCTTGTTCCGAAAGATAAATTACATGGCTGACATTATTTTAACATTATTCTGAAAAAGATAATTATGTATTTGTATTATCACACAAACAACGAAAGCGGGCTTTTAATTTCGAACGCAGCAACCACCGGAAGTTCCCAACGTGGGTGTTCCTGTTAGCTTGACGCTCGTCAGTAAAAGCAACGTGAGTAGCAGCGTTTCGCAGAACATTCGAGAGGTAAGGTGCGAAATAATTTCATCTCATTATCCTCTGCTCATCTTGACGTGGATTTACCGTCGAGGGTCGTAATTCCACGGAGAAAATCTAGCTAAGCCCGGCGGTTAAGAATACTAACGTTACTTTAATGACATTATCTTCGCCGACCACCCGCGTCGACACCACTTGGCTAATAAGTAACTGCGTTGTAGCTTCTGGGCTCTGGCTATTTCCTGGACTTAACCGTATGAGTGTATGTTTTTTTTAAGACTGTGTCGAAACTGTACTCAGACGTAGAATGTACTTATACATAACGTTGAGTATAACGACACTTCAGTAAACTATATATTCCAGATGTCATTGTCATGATATGGCGGCGGTCAGTTTCGGCAGTTGGCCGTTAAACTGCGCCCATTTAGGGGCATGAAAGGAACGTTTGAGAATCATCCCCGGCTTTGTTTTTAGGTCTTACATCAGCTAACGTTGAGTACATTGTACGTGACGGACGAGCCACACACCCACACCTGGTGATGCTAACGTTAGCGTTTTTAGTCCGCAGTTTGTGTGGATAACAGGACGCTTCTCTCTCTGTCTCTCTCTGTCTCTCTCTTCCCAAAAGGTTCCCCCCCAAACCCCGAGACGTTCCGGATATTATCACCCTTCTGTCTCTTGAGCCTGGCACCTGCACTGTTTGGACGCTTTGGGTGTTTAACTGTGCATCTTTGAGAGCCCAAAAATCACTAACCCTGCTGCAATCAATACAACACCAGCACAGGCTATCGACCACCGTTCACTGCGGCTCTTGGACGATCAGCGTTGTGTTTATGTTTGTTTTGCGAAAACGGTAAGTTGTAAGAACACATTTTTGGGGTGTATATTTTTGTATTTATACGTGGTGACATTTTCCTCTGGTGATAGCTGGGGTTATTGTGCGATATGTTCATGTTTACTGTGCCACTGTATCAAAATGGCGTCTCCCAGTCCCCTCACTCGTGTGCAGTGACTGTATGACGCACTCTGCACCAAGCAGCCAGCTAAGCTAACCTAGCCTCCTTCTGAAATAGTCTCGACCTCTGCCCTTCTGAAACATCTCAGCTTGCCCCCTGACAAAGCAGTGTGAGTCATTTCATGTTTTAATCACACTGACATTGCTGAGAAAATGACTGCTACAGACTGGGTGGTTTGTGTTAACGCTGTCTGCAGGGGGAGAGTTGTTGGCAGCAGATGCTAGGCCTCCTGTTTTTGACCTAATACAAGAGAAGGCCTTATGTGACTAAATCCAGTGCCCCTCATGTATGACAAAGGGCTCTAACAAAACATTTTTGTATGTATACAGCTACAAAAGCTCCTGTTTAAATCCTGCGTTGTATTTTTCTTCTTTGGACTAATCTGTCATGCTTGCTCACTGTTGGATCACATGGATATTTGCAGGATTTGAGTTTGTCAGCAGTATTTCCTAAATGCAGAGGCTTCATCCCACCCTTTTTTAATATTTCTAACATATCCGGCAATGTAGGTGTTCGAACTCGAGCTTGTTTTTAGGTTGAATACAATTTGTAAAAGTGACACTGCCTTGCGATTCAGCAGAATCTTCTGGATTGATATGTCGTAACTCAGTCTGGTCTGGCTAAATGGACACTCAGTAATCATTATGCACCACAGGAATCTGTTTTAATTTGTTCTTGTGGATAGTGGGCTCTCAAGAGTTCAAGTAAATATATAATCAGGGTTTCAATTATTTTCATTATGATTTAATCTGTATATCTCCTCCATTGGTTTGCCAACAAATTGTGTTTATCACAATCTCCAGAGCCTTTGTTTTGTCTGACCAACAGTCTACACACACAGTCCTGGGAACACACCTTTTAGCATTCAATGCGAGGTATAAACTAAAAATCATGACTAAATCATGGCTGCAAATGTACGAAGTTACTGTTTAAATAATGTCCTCTAATAAATATTAATGGGTTTTTGTCTGTCCTCTTTCGAGCTGTTGCGCAGCCGTTGGAATGTGTGGTGGAAATCTAGCCTTCAAGCAAGGAGCTTGCGGCCACAGCGGCACAGCGTTTTCATGTCAGAGACCGAGCACGCTTGCAGTCGTTTATGTCATCCCCTCTTTTCCAGACAGAAGATCCCGAAAAATCCCCAACCAAGATCCTTTTATCTTACTGATAGTGCTAACAGCCAGCCAAAATGTCTGTCAACGTCAAC